GAGGACCTAGGGAAATTGCCGTAGTACATGTCAGAGGACATCAAAAGGGGAACTGGTTTCCACATAAGAGGGAATAATCTAGCAGGTAAAGAAGCTAGGGAAGCAGCTCTTAGGAAGCATGACGTAGTTCTAACCCTACAGGAATAGGATAATGAAAAAGGGGCACGAGAAAAAGCATACAGAAGCACAAATAAAAACTATAAAGACAAGAGGGGCAGAACTGAAAGAAGGAAAATGGATTCTGCCTGATGGAAGAGAAATACTGCCAAAGGAACAAGCTAGGCGTGCACTTCTACAGTTATTACTACAAACGCATTAGGGAACAACAGCATTGAGTGATCAATTTCTAAAATTTTATGGGTGTGTAGGAATACATGAGATAGCCAAACAAACTGTCCAGGAGCAAAAAACAGGCAGTAGCAGGGAAAATTCTGATTAGCAAAAGAAAACAGTGTTAGCCATGAGGTGCTTTCACAGTGATGGCTAGCTCAGCTTTACCACACCGGTCTCTCACCCTACCCCTACTCAAAGGAAAGTGAGGAGAAAATGTGACAAAAAAGGGTTTAGATCAGGACAGTTTACAAAGGAATAAAGAAAGGGAAAAAATCAGAAAACAATAACACAAATAAAAGAAGCAGGTGATGCACAATGCAGCTGGTCACCACAAGCCAACTGATGCCCACCTGGTCCCTGAGCAACAGTGACCTCTCCTGCCAACCCCCCCAGCGTTATTGTCCCACATGACACCACATGCTATGGGACATCCCTTTGGCCAGTTGGGGTCAGCTGTCCTGGCCGTGTCCCCTCCCACCTCCCTGTGCACCCCCAGCCTTCTCAGGTTCACCAGGAGGAAATCATGCTTGATAAACTGCTTAAAATTATCTAATGAAAGGACTGGCTTGGAAGACAAGAAGAGGGTATTGCATATAGACAGGGGGACTGATGGCTGAAGTGCAGCCCTGCAGAAAGAGAGTTGAGTACTGAGCTGCACAAATGCTCTGCTGCTACCACACTGCTAGTAGTATTCAACAAGTGTGTAATTCAGAGCTTAACCCAGCCTCACGGAAGGAAGCGAAGTCCCAAATGTGTCCTCCTGAAAACTAACAGCCTAAACACAAGTGCAACGTCAGGGGAAATTCAGAGAAGATGGGACCGGTGTTGTGAAGGACAGGGCAAACTAGAACAAACACAGCATACGGTAGGATCAAAGAAGGAAAAGGTTGTTCATCCCTTGAGACATAAAAGTAAGATTTCAATGGGAAGAGAAAGTAAAACAGCACAGCACAAAATAAAAAACAGCGTTATTTATTATATACCCTGCATCTTCCCTTGGAACAGTCACAGCGAGGTCCCGACTCCCCTCCCATCTCATTTTCCCTCTAACCCTTGCTGATAAGATCAGCAGATTAAGGAGATGAACAACTCTTGTCATCTTTGCTTGCTGTCTCCCAAGTAAGAAACCTGCACGCAGGCAGAGAGAGGTCAGTGTCTCTCTCAGAAAAATAAATAAAGAAATAAATAAACAAATAGAATAAAAATAATTAAAAGAAAAAAAAAAAAAAAGAAACAACAACAGAGCAAACAAACAAACGAACAATAAAGCAGCCACACTCAGTGGTATTCTACTGCAACAACATCATCTTTGTTTCTCACACTCCCCAGTCAGAAACCTGCACACAGGCAGAGACAGTCAAGTGTTTCTCTCAGAAATTAATAAATAAATTAATAAACAAAATAAAACATCCACACTCGGGCGTAAGGGACACCTGTGACAGAGAACTGGCACAGGGTGCCCAGAGAGGCTGTGGAGTCTCCCCCAACAGAGATCCTCAACAGCAGCCTGTGCATGCTCCTCGGCAACCTGCTGTAGGTGGCCCTGCTTGAGAGGATCCATGATTCCTCTCTGATCTATGGTTCCGTGATTCTCTTGATTTTGAAAGCAAAGAATTCACCTGAACATCAAAAGCAGCCTGAAGAAAACAGCCATGCTCTGGAAGAACACTTTGAAGGAGCATATGCAACTAAGCTGGGCCTGACTGGCAAGGAGCCTTACTGCAGCCTCCAGCTTGTTAGGACACGGTTTGCGCAGAGCCTGGCAAAACCAGGCTGGGGTCTTGTTTTGAGCAGTGAGCTGAACAAATTCTCTACAGGTACTGCAGTGATACCTATATTCAGCCTGAGCTCAAACCAGCCTCACTCACACAAGGGAGTGAAGTCCAAAATGTGTCCTCCTCACACCTGTAATTGCAATGGACGTGGGGGTGCTGGAAAGGTGGAGGCAGTATATCAAAGAAAACGGAGTAACAGGAGCATATGGTAACAAGCTGAGGTGAGAGATGGAGGCAGAGGTGTCTGCACCGCCCCGTCAGGGGCCTCACTCTGCACCCCTGCCCATGCTGAGGCAAGATGTGGGTGGCCTGTGAGGTGCCGACCCTTTGTGACACGTTCGATGATGTCGTGGGGCTCGGCTATAAATACCGGCCCTGCCGTGCCTGGCCACACTCCCCAGCAAGGCCTGGGAAGTGTTGGAGCTGCTCTCGCCAGCGCTACTCTGCTCCACAGGAGCTGCTCTGCCAGCAGCAGAAGGCGAGGGGAGCCTGTGGTAGAGAACGCTGGTTGGGAAGTGTTGAGGAAAAGGAGGAGGAGCCAAGGGAGTTTTGTAGCACGAAAAGCACGTCTTTACCAGCTTCTGTAAGGCTAGGGTAAAGATGAGGCACTACGTGCTGTTCAACCCCTTGAAGCCTGAGGACCTTTCATTAATTAAGGAGCTCACCAGGAAAGGTAAGGCCCTGGGGGGCCCTTGTGGGAGCGCTGTTGTCGCAAAGACGGACGTGAGCTGTGGAAGGCTTGGGGCTGGGGCTGCCGGGGGAAGGTCTTCTGAAGGGTCCTGGCGTCTGCAAGGAGAGCCCTGAGTGCATCCAATGTGCTTCCCAAAGTGCATCTAACGCCTCCCCTCCCTCCCCAGGCCTGTCCTGGGCACAGTGTGGGCTTCTTGCAAGCTGGGCAAGGTTCAGGAGCTGTGCAGCAGCTTGCCCCAGCAGTGCGAGTGCTGGTTGAGGGCAAGGCAGAGTTTGATCGCACACCACTGTCACCTCTGTGGCGATGGGGGTTCAGACTTCATGGGCATTGCCAACTCACAGCATCTTGGCATCTGTCTTTCGCTTTCCAGAAATCGCCCAAGTGTGGAATAGTACGTGCAGATACATCAGAAGGCAGCTGTTGCAGAAGAAGGTGAGCCTTACATCCTGCCCCTGGCCCATCTTGCCCCTTTGGACCTGGGCCACACAGCACCATCTTCAGGGCCAGCAAGTCACCCAGCACCCTTCCAGCTCTGCCCAGCACTGCCATTGGTCCCTCTTCTTGCTTGCGTTTTCAGGCGGTGAATATTGGAATCGGGACATTTGCCGTTGTGTCAGCGAAGACCACTGGTGCGGACGGCAAGGCTATGGTTGTCCGGAAACCCATATTCAAGCCCTGCAGGTTCATGAAGATATTTTACAAGCTCAAGTGTGCTGAGAGCAGAATTCCTAGTAAGAAGATTTTTGCTTTGCTTTCCCTCTGCAGCCCTTGCCTTTTGCTCCATGCAGTCGTGCCTGTGCCACGGCAGAGCAAAGTCTCTTGCACCATGGAGAGGCTGAGTGTGGGTGCACATACAGCATCCCAGAACATGCCCCTGCCCTGGGAGTCAGCCCCGTCTCTGCAGCTCATCCCACCCTCTAGCAGGATGCTCGTAGCACGTGGCAAAGCTTCCCTTGGCCTTCTGTTCCCCATCTGCTCTGCTCTGGAGATGTGGCCAAAGCTGGCAAGGACCTTCCCCGTGGCACAGCATTGCGCGAGGGCTGGGCGCTGCACACACTTCGTCTGTGAGTTTGCTGAACTGAGTGAGGACTGACATTGTTCCTTCATGGTTGTTTTCTAGTCGAGACATTCATTGATCCGCTGGACATTGAGAAAATTGCCGCACACATCTACTTCCGACCACAAATAGTAGAGCAGTGCATCCACGAGACCCTGCTTCTCTACGCTGGTGGCCTCTTGGACAACCAGGATGTGGAATTCTTCTTCAAGGGCATTGGCATTCTTACTGTGCGAAGAAGAGTGGTCACCATGAACTATTACACTGATTTCCTGCTGGACGTGGATGACACACGCAATATGCGTGAAGCTCTTCTCACGGTGAGCGGATCATGTCTCCAGGGCAGCTTGCAGCTCTGGCAATGCTGTCAAAGCTCTCTCAAACTGCTTTCTCCTTGCCTGCCTCACCATTGGGTGAGACAGGCTGGAGGAGCTACACAAACTGTTGGTAGCACCTTGGCCTGTTTGTGTGAGGGGCTAATGACACCAAAGGACAAAGTGGGGCGAGGATTTTGGAGAGGTAGCCGTGTTCCTGAGCAGTGGGAACGTTTGCTACCTTTGGGAGCAAGGAGCACATATCCTTGGCTTCTGCTGACGTGTGTCTGTCCCATTGCAGAACTCCAAGATGATGGATATGCTTGCCTTCAACGGCAAAAACAGATATACTCGCATCAGTGGAAATACGTTCCTCACACTACCAACGTGAGTGCCATCTCTTCTGCAACATCTGGCTGGCCAGGGGAGCGGGTGCCCAGCTCGTGCTTTGGGTGCAGCGTCTTCTTGATGCTTCTCTCCTGCCAGAGCGAGGCAGGACCAGCTCGTTCCTGGGAGGCCTTCCAGGTTGACCCCCTGCTCAGTCAGCACTTCTGGGCAGTGCAGATGAAGCGGCCAGTCTGCAGTTGAGGGTCCCTGAGAGCGGTGGGAGGGTGTGAGGGGACAGCGAGGAGGACTTGTGTTGGCTCTGGCAGTAAGGCATAAGAAGCATGGGAAGAAGCTGCTGGAGGCTGTGGGGCCCCTCAGCTCGCACAGGCCATTGTGTCCTCCAGAGGCTCGGCAGTAGCTCCCAAAGAGCCCTGCCAGCAGCTTCTTAGTGTGGGGCACCAAGGGAACATAGTGCCTTATTTGACAACTGCTGTCTTCCTGTTTCCAGGCTTATACTTCGGGACCCACGACGCAAAGCAGTTTGCATCAAGCCCAGAAGGGATCCGCAGCCTTGGGGCATGGGTGGCCGAAAATGTAATGTCCCAGTGGGCTCCTGGCAGGGGGTTGCGTGTTCTCCTTTTGTCCTCGCAGGGCAGGAGAGCCAATGTTGATGTGTGGGGGATGCGAGAGAAGGCAGCTGTGTGGGATAAAATGCCCCAGGAGTGGTGGCTCCCAGCGGTGGCAATGAGTGTGGGTGGACATGGCTGAGCAGCTCTGCTGCTGCTGCCGCTCCCCTGCACAGACACAGAGGTGACATCGTGCTGTTCTCTTGCAGTGAGTGTGCTGGACCCGGTGGTGATGGCTCGGAGGAGGGTTTCTCAAGCCAAGAGGGCAGAGAAGAAAAGAAAGGAGGAGGCAGACAAGCAGCGTGAACAAGCCAGGTGAGCCTGCTGGAGAAGTGTTGTGGCGGAGTTAGGGGACTCGCTGTGCTCTTGCTGCTGGAGCTAAGATGTGAGCTGCGAGCCCGCCCTTTAGAAACTGCCTCCCATAAGCTAAACTTGCTGTGTCTTACTAGATTCCTGCCACCAATTCATGAGAGGTCTGAGGAGGAGCTGAAGAAACCAACACCTTCAGCTTATCAACGGTCATCCATAATCCCGGCTTGTTATAAGGACACTCCACCAATGGTACGCCATAGGCATTTGTCAGTCCCGTTTCACTTTGGGGGTTCCAGAGCAAGGCAGAAGCAGCAGCTGTTGCTGCCCACTGTCCCCATGCTCCTGCCTGTGCCCAGCCCCAGGAGACTAACGCTGCGTGCGGATGTGTTTCCCTTGCCTGCAGGGAGTGCGCTCTGTGCGCGCTCAGATAGAAGACGGGCATGAATACTGATGGTCCACAGGCTCAGAAAGATTGAAGCTGAAATGTGGGACCTATGCTGTGTATGCATATGGAGTAGGAGCAAGGAGCATGGCATGTTTTCAGAGAGCCTAGGAAAAAATGCCCCCAGCAGGCTTTTGCCCTGCTCCTTGGGAGGGAGGGGAGCAGTGCAGGTCTCCGGCACGGCAGCGTTGCAGTCCCCACCTGGCCAGGCAGGTGCCTGCTGTCTGCGCGCTCCCCTGCACGTTGCCATGCGGGAGGAGCTGTTGCAGTTAGCAAAGGGCAGAGCCAGCAGAGAGCTGGGCATGGGCACGAATCTGCCAAGGGTCTGTACCTCCCTGCGAGGGATGTGTGCCCGCTGTACCTGCACCCTGAAGACTAAAGTGAGCCTGTGCGAGGCACCTGCCTTCACAGAAGCACACATGCAAGCAGAAAAGGCAGGCCCTGCCCTGGGCTCAGGGAGCAAGGGCTGCAGCCTTGAAAGCACTGTCTGTTGGAAGGAGACCCCTTTGGAGAGGGTGGCCTGCTGCTGCTCAGAGCCATTTCCTGCAGGAGCGCACTGGGAGTAGCAGCCTCAGCTGCTTGCAGCAGTTCTCTAGGAGACTCTCTTCTGGTTTTGCAGAAATATTTCTGCCAAATACTCAAGTGCACACGAGTTCCTACCCACATCGTGAGAAAGGAGTATGATCAGATGCTGAAGCGGAGAATAAAGGACAAGTTGAAAGGCCAAATGCCTACGAGCCTGAAGGCACCAAAGGGGTGGCAGCAAGTGCCACAGCAACCGAGGACAGCACAGAAAAAGTAAGTGTGCACCGGTCCAGCTGAGACCCGGAAACAGCCCTGGAGGCCATGACCCGTGTTCTGGGGTTCCACGGCTTGTCGTCTTCCCCTTCCTCGTGACATGGGAAGGAGCTGGGTGCGATGGCAACCCAGGGATCTCTCTGAACCCCACAACCGAGGCATGACACAGGTCCCAAGGGGAAGGCTGTGGGTGCAAAGGGCCAAGGCAGCTGTGTCTGATGGTGTGCGTCTGCTTGGGTTGTAACAACACACCCCACAGCTAGGGGCCTGAGTGAGGCCTTGGGACATTTCTGTCCCTTCTTCCCCACACAAGTGGAGGAAGTCAGATGCTTTTGTGCCAGTGAGATGTTTCCCTGGGCTGCACTGAACGTGCTCATGCCAAAAGGCACTGGAAACACCAAAGGGACAGCTGTTGTCCTGGTGTGGTCGTGGTCTTCCTCCTCCAGAAGCACCTTGTGGTGCTGGAGATAAGGTGTGAGCTGCGAGCCCAGCTCTGAGTAAGTGCCTCCAAGTGTAGTCCCATATGCTAAGCCTGCTGTGTCTTTCTAGATTCCTGCCACCAATTTATGAGGAATCTGAGGAGGAGCTGAAGAAGCCAACACCTCCAGCTCATGCAAAGCCTAGGACACCTGAGCACGGGGCTTTTGCTCAGGACACTTCAACACCGGTACGCCATAGGCATTTCCCAGCCCCGCTTCCCCTTGGAGATTCCAGAGCAGGACAGAAGCAGCAGATGTGGCTGCCCACCGTCCCTGTGCTCCTGCCTGTGCCCAGCCCCAGGAAACTAACGCTGCGTGCGGATGTGTTTCCCTTGCCTGCAGGGAGCGCGCTCTGTACGCGCTAAGATAGAAGAAAGAAGGCTCCGCATACTGAAGGCCCATAAGATGAAAAATCTTGAGGCTGAAACATGGAACCAATATGATTCCACGCTTCAAAAGCTGATGATGGAGCACAAGCAGGTATGACATGCGTTCAGAGCCCCCAGGAAGAAAATGTCCCAGCAGGCATTTCCCCTGCTCCTTGGGAGGCAGGGGAGCAGTGCAGGTCACCGGCACGGCAGCGTTGCAGTCCCCACCTGGCCAGGCAGCTGCCTGCTGTCTGCGTGCTCCCCTGCACGTTGCCATGCGGGAGGAGCTGTTGCAAGAAGCAAAGGGCAGAGCCAGCAGAGAGCTGGGCGTGGGCACGGGTCTGCCAAGGGTCTGTACCTCCCTGCGAGGGATGTGTGCCCGCTGGACCTGCACCCTGAAGGCTAAAGTGAGCCTGTGCGAGGCACCTGCCTCAGCAGAAGCACACACGCAAGCAGAAAAAGCAGGCCCTGCCCTGGGCTCAGGGAGCAAGGGCTGCAGCCTTGAAAGTGCTGGCTGTTGGAAAGAGACCCCATTGGAGAGGGTAGCCCGCAGCTGCTCACAGCCAGTTCCTGCAGCAGTGCACTGGGAGAGGCAGCCTCGGCTGCTTCCTGCAGTTCTCTAGGAGACTCTCTTCTGGTTTTGCAGAAAAACTTTCACCAGCCGATGGAGCATGACCAACGTCCTTCATTCCAACTGAGAATGGAGTACAATGAGAAGCTGAAGGAGAGGATGAATCAGAATGACAAAGGCCAGAGCGGTGCGAGCCTGAAGGCACCAGAGGGCAGGCAGGAAGAGCCACAGCCCCTGAGGAGAGCACAGACAGAGTAAGTGTGCACCGGTCCAGCTGAGGCTTGGGAACAGCCCTGGAGGCCCTGAGCCCCTGCACCATGTTCTGAGGTTTCCTGGGCTTGAAGTCCTCCCCTTCCTCTTGACACGCGAAGGAGATGGGTGCGATGCCACGCCCAGGGGCCTCTGGGAATCCCCAGGCCCTTCCAGGACACAGGTCCTGAGGGGAAGGCTGTGGGTGCAAAGGGCCAAGGGGGCCGTGTCTGATGGTGTGCGTCTGCACGGGTTGTAACAACACATCCCACAGCTAGGGGCCCGAGTGAGGCCTTTGGACATTTCTGTCCCTTCTTCCCCACACAAGTGGAGGAAGTCAGATGCTTTTGTGCCAGTGAGATGTTTCCCTGGGCTGCACTGAACGTGCTCATGCCAAAAGGCACTGGAAACACCAAAGGGACAGCTGTTGTCCTGGTGTGGTCGTGGTCTTCCTCCTGCAGAAGCACCTTGTGGTGCTGGAGCTAAGTTGTGAGCTGCGAGCCCAGCTCTGAGTAAGTGCCTCCAAGTGTAGTCCCATAAGCTAAGCCTGCTGTGTCTTTTCAGATTCCTGCCACCAATTTATGGGAGGTCTGAGGAGGAGCTGAAGAAACCAACCCCTCCTGCTCATCCAAAGCCTAAGACCCCTGAGTGCCAGGATAATCCTCAGGACCCTCCAACATCGGTACGCCATAGGCATTTCCAAACCAGGTTTCCCCTTGGAGACTCCAGAGCAGGGCAGAAGCAGCAGATGTGGCGGCCCACCGTCCCTGTGCTCCTGCCTGTGCCCAGCCCCGGGAGACTAATGCTTCATGCGGTTGTGTTTCCCTTGCCTGCAGAGGTGGCGCTCTGTGCGTGCTCAGATGGAAGAAAGACGGTACAGAATACTCATGGCCCACAAGCGCACAGAGCTTGAAGATGAAATCGGTGGGGAATATGATGCAATCCTACGGAGTAGGAGCAGAGAGCGAAAACAGGTATGTCACGCATTCAGAGCCCCCAGGAAAGAAAAGCCCCAAGAAGGCAATTCCCCCACTCCTTGGGAGGGAGGGGAGCAGTGCAGGTCTCCGGCACGGCAGCGTTGCAGTCCCCACCTGGCCAGGCAGGTGCCTGCTGTCTGCGCGCTCCCCTGCACGTTGCCGTGCGGGAGGAGCTGTTGCAAGAAGCAAAGGGCAAAGCCAGCAGCGAGCGGGGCATGGGCACCGGTCTGCTGAGGGACCGTACCTCCCTGCAAGGGAGCAGTGTCCGTAGTATTTGTGCCCTGAAGACTAAAGTGAGCCTGTGCAAGGCACCTGCCTCAGCAGAAGCACACACGCAAGAAGAAAGAACAGGCCCTGCCCTGGGCTTAGGGAGCAAGGGCTGCAGCCTTGAAAGCACTGTCTGTTGGAAAGAGACCCCATTGGAGAGGGTAGCCCGCAGCTGCTCAGAGCCATTTCCTGCAGGACTACACTGGGAGGGTCAGCCTCAGCTCCTTGCAGCAGGTCTTTAGGAGACTCTCTTCTGGTTTTGCAGAACCCTGTCTACCACCTCCTGGAGGGTGACCAACGTCCTTCGAGCATTGTAAGAAGGGAGTATGACAAGAAGCTGAAGGACAGGATGAAAGAGAATGTCAAAGGCCAAAGCCCTGCAAGTAAGAAGGCACCAGATGCCTCGAAGGAAGAGACAAAGCCAACGAAGGCAACACAGACAGAGTAAGTGTGCACTGGTCCAGCTGAGACCTGGAAACAGCCCTGGAGGCCCTGAGCCCCTGAGCCGTGTTCTGGGGTTCCACGGCTTGTCGTCTTCCCCTTCCTCATGACACGGGAAGGAGCTGGGTGTGATGCCAACCCAGGGACCTCTCTGCACCCCATCACTGAGGCATGACACAGGTCCCGAGGGGAAGGCTGTGGGTGCAAAGGGCCAAGGGGGCCGTGTCTGATGGTGTGCGTCTGCACGGGTTGTAACAACACATCCCACAGCTAGGGGCCCGAGTGAGGCCTTGGGGCAATTCTGTCCCTTCTTCCCCACACAAGTGGAGGAAGTCAGATGCTTTTGTGCCAGTGAGATGTTTCCCTGGGCTGCACTGAACGTGCTCATGCCAAAAGGCACTGGAAACACCAAAGGGACAGCTGTTGTCCTGGTGTGGTCGTGGTCTTCCTCCTGCAGAAGCACCTTGTGGTGCTGGAGCTAAGTTGTGAGCTGCGAGCCCAGCTCTGAGTAAGTGCCTCCAAGTGTACTCCCATAAACTAAGCCTGCTGTGTCTTTCTAGATTCCTGCCACCAATTCCTGGGAGGTCTGAGGAGGAGCTGAAGAAGCCAAAACCTCCAGCTTACCCACAGACTAAACCCCGTGAGCACCTGTCTTTTGCTGCTCAGAAAACAGCAACATCGGTACGCCATAGGCATTTCCCAGCCCCGTTTCCCCTTGGAGATTCCAGAGCAGGGCAGAAGCAGCAGCTCTGGCTGCCCACCTGTCGCTGTGCTCCTGCCTGTGCCCAAGCTCCGGAGACTAATGCTGCATGCGATTGTGTTTTCCTTACCTGCAGGGAGTGCACTATATGCGTGTTCTAACAGAGGAAAAACGGGAACAAGCGCTGATGGCCCACAGGCTCAAAACACGACAAGCTGAAGCGTGGAAAGAATATGATTCCAAGACGCAGAAGCTGCTCTTTGAACGAAGAAAGGTATGACATGGATTCCGAGCCCCGAGGAAAAAAAAAACGCAAGCAGGCACTTCGCTCTCTCCTTGGGAGGGAGGGGAGCAGTGCAGGTCTCCGGCACGGCAGCACTGCAGTCCCCACCTGGCCAGGCAGCTGCCTGCTGTCTGCCCGCTCCCCTGCACGTTACCATGCGGGAGGAGCTGTTGCAGTGAGCAAAGGGCAAAGCCAGCAGCGAGCTGGGCATGGGCACGGGTCTGCCGAGGGACTGTACCTCCCTGCGAGGGATGAGTGCCCGCTGGACCTGCACTCTGAAGACTAAAGTGAGGCTGTGCGAGGCACCTGCCTTCACAGAAGCACACATGCAAGCAGAAAAGGCAGGCCCTGCCCTGGGCTCAGGGAGCAAGGGCTGCAGCCTTGAAAGTGCTGGCTGTTGGAAAGAGACCCCATTGGAGAGGGTAGCCCACAGCTGCTCAGAGGGAGTTCCTGCAGCAGTGCACTGGGAGGGGCAGCCTCAGCTCCTTGCAGCAGTTCTTTAGGAGACTCTCTTCTGGTTTTGCAGAACCCCATCAACTCCTTGCAGATGTGTGACCGACGTCCTTCCTTCCACATGAGAAAAGAATACGATGAGAAGCTGAAGGAGAGGATGATGCCTGTCAGTGGCCGAATAAAGAGTGCTGGTGCGGGCTGCCAGCTGGACTGACCACACTGCTCCCTGCATGGCCTTTTTTTTTGCACAAAGGAGGAGAGGAGAAGCCCTGCAACTCCCGGTACTGCTCCCATGGTTGCGAGCCACCTCTCCCGGTGGAGGGCAGCTCGTGCAGGGGGGCCTCAGGCCCTGCGGCAGAGGGCTTCTCGCAGTGTTGACGAGGACTATCTGCCACCAGGGACTTGCTGCTTTGCAACAATGGCCGGGAATGACAAGCAGGCTTCTGTCTCTGGGACACCTTCCTTGCCATCCGTTCTACCATTTGTGGGCCCACAGACCCATTCTCCTGCTTTGGGGATTCCTTTGGGGTTTTCTCCACATGCCCTCTCAGCACTTTAGACCTTCACTAGAAGTACTCTGCTTTTCCAGGTTCAATGTGCAAAAAAAGAAAAGGTGGTTTTTTAGCCGAGGCACTATTTGCTCCGCTGGACTTTGAGCAGATTGCCTCAGACATCCACTTCAATATTGATCGAATTGGGCCTTTTCTTGAGATACGCTGTCCCCACTTAATCCCCCCAAAAATCAACAAGTTTATAGTCCACTGAATATATATATTCCTCTTGCATAGTTGTGGCTATTAGGTCATCTACATACTGTGCCTTTGCCTGGGAGTGAGCTCCAAGCCTCAAGCTCCTTTGCTAGCTGATTACCAAACATCGTCAGGCTATTTTAAGCCCTTGAGGTAACCCTGTCCAAGACAACTGAATCTTTCTGCCATTTTATGGATTTTCTCACACAAAGGCAAATGCTTTTTGACAAAAGAAGGCATCTTTCAAGTCCAACATGGTAAATCACACATGGTCAGTTTTGAATTTGGGGTAGATGTGCTCCAGGATTTCACTAGGCACCAGAGTACTTTTGGTACCTGTATTAACTTAAAAATTGGATTAGCTGAGTCACAGAATCACAGAACTGGAGGGGTTGGAAGGGACCTCGAAAGATCATCGGGTCCAACCCTTCCACCAAAGCAGGCTGCCCAGGTAGGCGTCCAGACGGGCCTCGAATATCTCCAGAGAAGGAGACTCCACAACCTCCCTGGGCAGCCTGTCCCAGTGCTCCGTCACCCTCCCCGTGAAGAGGTTCTTTGGCATGTTGGTGCGGAACTTCCTGTGCTCTATCTTGTGGCCATTACTCCTTGTCCTGTCTCCACAAACCACTGAAAAGAGGTTGGCCAAATCCCTCTGTCTCCCACACCTCAGCTATTTCTACGCATTGATGAGATCCCCTCTCAGTCTTCTTTTCTCCAGGCTGAACAGACCTAGGTCTCTCTGCCTTTCCTCATAGGGAAGATAAGATAAGCTGCGTCTCTTTTACTTGGAGCTCCTTGGGCAAAACTTTATGCATGCTCCTGATTGTTTTAACAAATCTCTTCCCAACAAGGATTTAGCTGATCCTGGCAAATACAAAAATTGAAAGGCCGTTAAATTGTACAACCTTATCTCCTCAGCAGATTCTCCAAATTCCTCAAAGACAATGAACAAACCCCCACTAATTTATCACACCTTGAAAGTGCTGGCTGTTGGAAAGAGACCCCATTGGAGAGGGTAGCCCGCAGCTGCTCACAGCCAGTTCCTGCAGCAGTACACTGGGAGAGGCAGCCTCGGAGGCAGTTCTCTAGGAGACTCTCTTCTGGTTTTGCAGAAAAACTTTCACCAGCCGATGGAGCATGACCAACGTCCTTCATTCCAACTGAGAATGGAGTACAATGAGAAGCTGAAGGAGAGGATGAATCAGAATGACAAAGGCCAGAGCGGTGCGAGCCTGAAGGCACCAGAGGGCAGGCAGGAAGAGCCACAGCCCCTGAGGAGAGCACAGTCAGAGTAAGTGTGCACCGGTCCAGCTGAAGCCTGGGAACAGCCTCACTTCAACACACCCCACAGCTAGGGGACTGACTGACGCCTTGGGACAATTCTGTCCCTTCTTCCCCACCCAAACTGATGGCCTTTCCTTTGGATCCTGCAGGAAAGGGGAGAAGACGAGGCTCTTGGACAACTGTGACAAGGCCCAGGGCGTGCCGTCCACACCAGGAAACCGCAAGCGGCCCTGCAGCTTCCAGCTGCAGAGGCCGTAGCCATCAGCACCAATACCAAAAGCTGGAGCAGGCGCCGGCACCAGTACCAGGGACACTCGAGAAGAAGCTCCCACCTCTTCTCATGGCGCTGCCCCCTTTGCAGTGTGAGAGCTGTCAGCAAGGGGTGTGAAGAGCGCCTTCCAAAGGGTGACCTGCCAAATAAAGAGGGCGGGTGCCTGCTGCCAGCTTATACTTCAGGACCCACAACACAAACCGATTTGCATCAAGCCCAGAAGAGATCCGCAGCCTTGGGGCATGGGTGTAAGGCTTCTGTAAGGCTAGGGTAAAGATGAGGTACCCTAGCAGGTCCATGAGTTGAAATAAAACTAGGAAACGAAGAGAGAGGCTTGAATTTTTTTGTTGGTTCTGGGAGCTTCTTCCTCTGTGTTAATTAGTCTGTAAATGTAATAGGAGCAACTGGCCAACAGGAAAAGGTGGTTTTTTTTTGCAATACCAGAAATTTAAATTGGGAAAATTGGGGAAGAAAAGGGACTCATAGGCACTCAAGGAAAAGGGCTAATTCACCAAACTGTAGTTACTCAAATATTGCACGCATTGAGAGGACCTAGGGAAATTGCCGTAGTACATGTCAGAGGACATCAAAAGGGGAACTGGTTTCCACATAAGAGGGAATAACCTAGCAGGTAAAGAAGCTAGGGAAGCAGCTCTTAGGAAGCATGACGTAGTTCTAACCCTACAGGAATAGGATAATGAAAAAGGGGCACGAGAAAAAGCATACAGAAGCACAAATAAAAACTATAAAGACAAGAGGGGCAGAACTGAAAGAAGGAAAATGGATTCTGCCTGATGGAAGAGAAATACTGCCAAAGGAACAAGCTAGGCGTGCACTTCTACAGTTATTACTACAAACGCATTAGGGAACAACAGCATTGAGTGATCAATTTCTAAAATTTTATGGGTGTGTAGGAATACATGAGATAGCCAAACAAACTGTCCAGGAGCAAAAAACAGGCAGTAGCAGGGAAAATTCTGATTAGCAAAAGAAAACAGTGTTAGCCATGAGGTGCTTTCACAGTGATGGCTAGCTCAGCTTTACCACACCGGTCTCTCACCCTACCCCTACTCAAAGGAAAGTGAGGAGAAAATGTGACAAAAAAGGGTTTAGATCAGGACAGTTTACAAAGGAATAAAGAAAGGGAAAAAATCAGAAAACAATAACACAAATAAAAGAAGCAGGTGATGCACAATGCAGCTGGTCACCACAAGCCAACTGATGCCCACCTGGTCCCTGAGCAACAGTGACCTCTCCTGCCAACCCCCCCAGCGTTATTGTCCCACATGACACCACATGCTATGGGACATCCCTTTGGCCAGTTGGGGTCAGCTGTCCTGGCCGTGTCCCCTCCCACCTCCCTGTGCACCCCCAGCCTTCTCAGGTTCACCAGGAGGAAATCATGCTTGATAAACTGCTTAAAATTATCTAATGAAAGGACTGGCTTGGAAGACAAGAAGAGGGTATTGCATATAGACAGGGGGACTGATGGCTGAAGTGCAGCCCTGCAGAAAGAGAGTTGAGTACTGAGCTGCACAAATGCTCTGCTGCTACCACACTGCTAGTAGTATTCAACAAGTGTGTAATTCAGAGCTTAACCCAGCCTCACGGAAGGAAGCGAAGTCCCAAATGTGTCCTCCTGAAAACTAACAGCCTAAACACAAGTGCAACGTCAGGGGAAATTCAGAGAAGATGGGACCGGTGTTGTGAAGGACAGGGCAAACTAGAACAAACACAGCATACGGTAGGATCAAAGAAGGAAAAGGTTGTTCATCCCTTGAGACATAAAAGTAAGATTTCAATGGGAAGAGAAAGTAAAACAGCACAGCACAAAATAAAAAACAGCGTTATTTATTATATACCCTGCATCTTCCCTTGGAACAGTCACAGCGAGGTCCCGACTCCCCTCCCATCTCATTTTCCCTCTAACCCTTGCTGATAAGATCAGCAGATTAAGGAGATGAACAACTCTTGTCATCTTTGCTTGCTGTCTCCCAAGTAAGAAACCTGCACGCAGGCAGAGAGAGGTCAGTGTCTCTCTCAGAAAAATAAATAAAGAAATAAATAAACAAATAGAATAAAAATAATTAAAAGAAAAAAAAAAAAAAAAGAAACAACAACAGAGCAAACAAACAAACGAACAATAAAGCAGCCACACTCAGTGGTATTCTACTGCAACAACATCATCTTTGTTTCTCACACTCCCCAGTCAGAAACCTGCACACAGGCAGAGACAGTCAAGTGTTTCTCTCAGAAATTAATAAATAAATTAATAAACAAAATAAAACATCCACACTCGGGCGTAAGGGACACCTGTGACAGAGAACTGGCACAGGGTGCCCAGAGAGGCTGTGGAGTCTCCCCCAACAGAGATCCTCAACAGCAGCCTGTGCATGCTCCTCGGCAACCTGCTGTAGGTGGCCCTGCTTGAGAGGATCCATGATTCCTCTCTGATCTATGGTTCCGTGATTCTCTTGATTTTGAAAGCAAAGAATTCACCTGAACATCAAAAGCAGCCTGAAGAAAACAGCCATGCTCTGGAAGAACACTTTGAAGGAGCATATGCAACTAAGCTGGGCCTGACTGGCAAGGAGCCTTACTGCAGCCTCCAGCTTGTTAGGACACGGTTTGCGCAGAGCCTGGCAAAACCAGGCTGGGGTCTTGTTTTGAGCAGTGAGCTGAACAAATTCTCTACAGGTACTGCAGTGATACCTATATTCAGCCTGAGCTCAAACCAGCCTCACTCACACAAGGGAGTGAAGTCCAAAATGTGTCCTCCTCACACCTGTAATTGCAATGGACGTGGGGGTGCTGGAAAGGTGGAGGCAGTATATCAAAGAAAACGGAGTAACAGGAGCATATGGTAACAAGCTGAGGTGAGAGATGGAGGCAGAGGTGTCTGCACCGCCCCGTCAGGGGCCTCACTCTGCACCCCTGCCCATGCTGAGGCAAGATGTGGGTGGCCTGTGAGGTGCCGACCCTTTGTGACACGTTCGATGATGTCGTGGGGCTCGGCTATAAATACCGGCCCTGCCGTGCCTGGCCACACTCCCCAGCAAGGCCTGGGAAGTGTTGGAGCTGCTCTCGCCAGCGCTACTCTGCTCCACAGGAGCTGCTCTGCCAGCAGCAGAAGGCGAGGGGAGCCTGTGGTAGAGAACGCTGGTTGGGAAGTGTTGAGGAAAAGGAGGAGGAGCCAAGGGAGTTTTGTAGCACGAAAAGCACGTCTTTACCAGCTTCTGTAAGGCTAGGGTAAAGATGAGGCACTACGTGCTGTTCAACCCCTTGAAGCCTGAGGACCTTTCATTAATTAAGGAGCTCACCAGGAAAGGTAAGGCCCTGGGGGGCCCTTGTGGGAGCGCTGTTGTCGCAAAGACGGACGTGAGCTGTGGAAAGCTTGGGGCTGGGGCTGCCGGGGGAAGGTCTTCTGAAGGGTCCTGGCATCTGCAAGGAGAGCCCTGAGTGCATCCAATGTGCTTCCCAAAGTGCATCTAACGCCTCCCCTCCCTCCCCAGGCCTGTCCTGGGCACAGTGTGGGCTTCTTGCAAGCTGGGCAAGGTTCAGGAGCTGTGCAGCAGCTTGCCCCAGCAGTGCGAGTGCTGGTTGAGGGCAAGGCAGAGCTTGATCGCACACCACTGTCACCTCTGTGGCGATGGGGGTTCAGACTTCATGGGCATTGCCAACTCACAGCATCTTGGCATCTGTCTTTCGCTTTCCAGAAATCGCCCAAGTGTGGAATAGTACGTGCAGATACATCAGAAGGCAGCTGTTGCAGAAGAAGGTGAGCCTTACATCCTGCCCCTGGCCCATCTTGCCCCTTTGGACCTGGGCCACACAGCACCATCTTCAGGGCCAGCAAGTCACCCAGCACCCTTCCAGCTCTGCCCAGCACTGCCATTGGTCCCTCTTCTTGCTTGCGTTTTCAGGCGGTGAATATTGGAATCGGGACATTTGCCGTTGTGTCAGCGAAGACCACTGGTGCGGATGGCAAGGCTATGGTTGTCCGGAAACCCATATTCAAGCCCTGCAGGTTCATGAAGATATTTTACAAGCTCAAGTGTGCTGAGAGCAGAATTCCTAGTAAGAAGATTTTTGCTTTGCTTTCCCTCTGCAGCCCTTGCCTTTTGCTCCATGCAGTCGTGCCTGTGCCACGGCAGAGCAAAGTCTCTTGCACCATGGAGAGGCTGAGTGTGGGTGCACATACAGCATCCCAGAACATGCCCCTGCCCTGGGAGTCAGCCCCGTCTCTGCAGCTCATCCCACCCTCTAGCAGGATGCTCGTAGCACGTGGCAAAGCTTCCCTTGGCCTTCTGTTCCCCATCTGCTCTGCTCTGGAGATGTGGCCAAAGCTGGCAAGGACCTTCCCCGTGGCACAGCATTGCGCGAGGGCTGGGCGCTGCACACACTTCGTCTGTGAGTTTGCTGAACTGAGTGAGGACTGACATTGTTCCTTCATGGTTGTTTTCTAGTCGAGACATTCATTGATCCGCTGGACATTGAGAAAATTGCCGCACACATCTACTTCCGACCACAAATAGTAGAGCAGTGCATCCACGAGACCCTGCTTCTCTACGCTGGTGGCCTCTTGGACAACCAGGATGTGGAATTCTTCTTCAAGGGCATTGGCATTCTTACTGTGCGAAGAAGAGTGGTCACCATGAACTATTACACTGATTTCCTGCTGGACGTGGATGACACACGCAATATGCGTGAAGCTCTTCTCACGGTGAGCGGATCATGTCTCCAGGGCAGCTTGCAGCTCTGGCAATGCTGTCAAAGCTCTCTCAAACTGCTTTCTCCTTGCCTGCCTCACCATTGCGTGAGACAGGCTGGAGGAGCTACACAAACTGTTGGTAGCACCTTGGCCTGTTTGTGTGAGGGGCTAATGACACCAAAGGACAAAGTGGGGCGAGGATTTTGGAGAGGTAGCCGTGTTCCTGAGTAGTGGGAACATTTGCTACCTTTGGGAGCAAGGAGCACATATCCTTGGCTTCTGCTGACGTGTGTCTGTCCTATTGCAGAACTCCAAGATGATGGATATGCTTGCCTTCAACGGCAAAAACAGATATACTCGCATCAGTGGAAATACGTTCCTCACACTACCAACGTGAGTGCCATCTCTTCTGCAACATCTGGCTGGCCAGGGGAGCGGGTGCCCAGCTCGTGCTTTGGGTGCAGCGTCTTCTTGATGCTTCTCTCCTGCCAGAGCGAGGCAGGACCAGCTCGTTCCTGGGAGGCCTTCCAGGTTGACCCCCTGCTCAGTCAGCACTTCTGGGCAGTGCAGATGAAGCGGCCAGTCTGCAGTTGAGGGTCCCTGAGAGCGGTGGGAGGGTGTGAGGGGACAGCGAGGAGGACTTGTGTTGGCTCTGGCAGTAAGGCATAAGAAGCATGGGAAGAAGCTGCTGGAGGCTGTGGGGCCCCTCAGCTCGCACAGGCCATTGTGTCCTCCAGAGGCTCGGCAGTAGCTCCCAAAGAGCCCTGCCAGCAGCTTCTTAGTGTGGGGCACCAAGGGAACATAGTGCCTTATTTGACAACTGCTGTCTTCCTGTTTCCAGGCTTATACTTCGGGACCCACGACGCAAAGCAGTTTGCATCAAGCCCAGAAGGGATCCGCAGCCTTGGGGCATGGGTGGCCGAAAATGTAATGTCCCAGTGGGCTCCTGGCAGGGGGTTGCGTGTTCTCCTTTTGTCCTCGCAGGGCAGGAGAGCCAATGTTGATGTGTGGGGGATGCGAGAGAAGGCAGCTGTGTGGGATAAAATGCCCCAGGAGTGGTGGCTCCCAGCGGTGGCAATGAGTGTGGGTGGACATGGCTGAGCAGCTCTGCTGCTGCTGCCGCTCCCCTGCACAGACACAGAGGTGACATCGTGCTGTTCTCTTGCAGTGAGTGTGCTGGACCCGGTGGTGATGGCTCGGAGGAGGGTTTCTCAAGCCAAGAGGGCAGAGAAGAAAAGAAAGGAGGAGGCAGACAAGCAGCGTGAACAAGCCAGGTGAGCCTGCTGGAGAAGTGTTGTGGCGGAGTTAGGGGACTCGCTGTGCTCTTGCTGCTGGAGCTAAGATGTGAGCTGCGAGCCCGCCCTTTAGAAACTGCCTCCCATAAGCTAAACTTGCTGTGTCTTACTAGATTCCTGCCACCAATTCATGAGAGGTCTGAGGAGGAGCTGAAGAAACCAACACCTTCAGCTTATCAACGGTCATCCATAATCCCGGCTTGTTATAAGGACACTCCACCAATGGTACGCCATAGGCATTTGTCAGTCCCGTTTCACTTTGGGGGTTCCAGAGCAAGGCAGAAGCAGCAGCTGTTGCTGCCCACTGTCCCCATGCTCCTGCCTGTGCCCAGCCCCAGGAGACTAACGCTGCGTGCGGATGTGTTTCCCTTGCCTGCAGGGAGTGCGCTCTGTGCGCGCTCAGATAGAAGACGGGCATGAATACTGATGGTCCACAGGCTCAGAAAGATTGAAGCTGAAATGTGGGACCTATGCTGTGTATGCATATGGAGTAGGAGCAAGGAGCATGGCATGTTTTCAGAGAGCCTAGGAAAAAATGCCCCCAGCAGGCTTTTGCCCTGCTCCTTGGGAGGGAGGGGAGCAGTGCAGGTCTCCGGCACGGCAGCGTTGCAGTCCCCACCTGGCCAGGCAGGTGCCTGCTGTCTGCGCGCTCCCCTGCACGTTGCCATGCGGGAGGAGCTGTTGCAGTTAGCAAAGGGCAGAGCCAGCAGAGAGCTGGGCATGGGCACGAATCTGCCAAGGGTCTGTACCTCCCTGCGAGGGATGTGTGCCCGCTGTACCTGCACCCTGAAGACTAAAGTGAGCCTGTGCGAGGCACCTGCCTTCACAGAAGCACACATGCAAGCAGAAAAGGCAGGCCCTGCCCTGGGCTCAGGGAGCAAGGGCTGCAGCCTTGAAAGCACCGTCTGTTGGAAGGAGACCCCTTTGGAGAGGGTGGCCTGCTGCTGCTCAGAGCCATTTCCTGCAGGAGCGCACTGGGAGTAGCAGCCTCAGCTGCTTGCAGCAGTTCTCTAGGAGACTCTCTTCTGGTTTTGCAGAAATATTTCTGCCAAATACTCAAGTGCACACGAGTTCCTACCCACATCGTGAGAAAGGAGTATGATCAGATGCTGAAGCGGAGAATAAAGGACAAGTTGAAAGGCCAAATGCCTACGAGCCTGAAGGCACCAAAGGGGTGGCAGCAAGTGCCACAGCAACCGAGGACAGCACAGAAAAAGTAAGTGTGCACCGGTCCAGCTGAGACCCGGAAACAGCCCTGGAGGCCATGACCCGTGTTCTGGGGTTCCACGGCTTGTCGTCTTCCCCTTCCTCGTGACATGGGAAGGAGCTGGGTGCGATGGCAACCCAGGGATCTCTCTGAACCCCACAACCGAGGCATGACACAGGTCCCAAGGGGAAGGCTGTGGGTGCAAAGGGCCAAGGCAGCTGTGTCTGATGGTGTGCGTCTGCTTGGGTTGTAACAACACACCCCACAGCTAGGGGCCTGAGTGAGGCCTTGGGACATTTCTGTCCCTTCTTCCCCACACAAGTGGAGGAAGTCAGATGCTTTTGTGCCAGTGAGATGTTTCCCTGGGCTGCACTGAACGTGCTCATGCCAAAAGGCACTGGAAACACCAAAGGGACAGCTGTTGTCCTGGTGTGGTCGTGGTCTTCCTCCTGCAGAAGCACCTTGTGGTGCTGGAGATAAGGTGTGAGCTGCGAGCCCAGCTCTGAGTAAGTGCCTCCAAGTGTAGTCCCATATGCTAAGCCTGCTGTGTCTTTCTAGATTCCTGCCACCAATTTATGAGGAATCTGAGGAGGAGCTGAAGAAGCCAACACCTCCAGCTCATGCAAAGCCTAGGACACCTGAGCACGGGGCTTTTGCTCAGGACACTTCAACACCGGTACGCCATAGGCATTTCCCAGCCCCGCTTCCCCTTGGAGATTCCAGAGCAGGACAGAAGCAGCAGATGTGGCTGCCCACCGTCCCTGTGCTCCTGCCTGTGCCCAGCCCCAGGAAACTAACGCTGCGTGCGGATGTGTTTCCCTTGCCTGCAGGGAGCGCGCTCTGTACGCGCTAAGATAGAAGAAAGAAGGCTCCGCATACTGAAGGCCCATAAGATGAAAAATCTTGAGGCTGAAACATGGAACCAATATGATTCCACGCTTCAAAAGCTGATGATGGAGCACAAGCAGGTATGACATGCGTTCAGAGCCCCCAGGAAGAAAATGTCCCAGCAGGCATTTCCCCTGCTCCTTGGGAGGCAGGGGAGCAGTGCAGGTCACCGGCACGGCAGCGTTGCAGTCCCCACCTGGCCAGGCAGCTGCCTGCTGTCTGCGTGCTCCCCTGCACGTTGCCATGCGGGAGGAGCTGTTGCAAGAAGCAAAGGGCAGAGCCAGCAGAGAGCTGGGCGTGGGCACGGGTCTGCCAAGGGTCTGTACCTCCCTGCGAGGGATGTGTGCCCGCTGGACCTGCACCCTGAAGGCTAAAGTGAGCCTGTGCGAGGCACCTGCCTCAGCAGAAGCACACACGCAAGCAGAAAAAGCAGGCCCTGCCCTGGGCTCAGGGAGCAAGGGCTGCAGCCTTGAAAGTGCTGGCTGTTGGAAAGAGACCCCATTGGAGAGGGTAGCCCGCAGCTGCTCACAGCCAGTTCCTGCAGCAGTGCACTGGGAGAGGCAGCCTCGGCTGCTTCCTGCAGTTCTCTAGGAGACTCTCTTCTGGTTTTGCAGAAAAACTTTCACCAGCCGATGGAGCATGACCAACGTCCTTCATTCCAACTGAGAATGGAGTACAATGAGAAGCTGAAGGAGAGGATGAATCAGAATGACAAAGGCCAGAGCGGTGCGAGCCTGAAGGCACCAGAGGGGAGGCAGGAAGAGCCACAGCCCCTGAGGAGAGCACAGTCAGAGTAAGTGTGCACCGGTCCAGCTGAGGCTTGGGAACAGCCCTGGAGGCCCTGAGCCCCTGCACCATGTTCTGAGGTTTCCTGGGCTTGAAGTCCTCCCCTTCCTCTTGACACTGGAAGGAGATGGGTGCGATGCCACGCCCAGGGGCCTCTGGGCATCCCCAGGCCTTTCCACGACACAGGTCCTGAGGGGAAGGCTGTGGCTGCAAAGGGCCAAGGGGGCCGTGTCTGATGGTGTGCGTCTGCGTGGGACATAGCAACACATCCCACAGCTAGGGGCCTGAGTGAGGCCTTGGGACATTTCTGTCCCTTCTTCCCCACACAAGTGGAGGAAGTCAGATGGTTTTGTGCCAGTGAGATGTTTCCCTTGGCTGCACTGAATGTGCTCATGCCAAAAGGCACTGGAAACACCAAAGGGACAGCTGTTGTCCTGGTGTGGTCGTGGTCTTCCTCCTGCAGAAGCACCTTGTGGTGCTGGAGCTAAGTTGTGAGCTGCGAGCCCAGCTCTGAGTAAGTGCCTCCAAGTGTAGTCCCATAAGCTAAGCCTGCTGTGTCTTTTCAGATTCCTGCCACCAATTCCTGGGAGGTCTGAGGAGGAGCTGAAGAAACCAACCCCTCCAGCTCATCCAAAGCCTAAGACCCCTGAGTGCCTGGATAATCCTCAGGACCCTCCAACATCGGTACGCCATAGGCATTTCCAAACCAGGTTTCCCCTTGGAGACTCCAGAGCAGGGCAGAAGCAGCAGATGTGGCGGCCCACCGTCCCTGTGCTCCTGCCTGTGCCCAGCCCCGGGAGACTAATGCTTCATGCGGTTGTGTTTCCCTTGCCTGCAGAGGTGGCGCTCTGTGCGTGCTCAGATGGAAGAAAGACGGTACAGAATACTCATGGCCCACAAGCGCACAGAGCTTGAAGATGAAATCGGTGGGGAATATGATGCAATCCTACGGAGTAGGAGCAGAGAGCGAAAACAGGTATGTCACGCATTCAGAGCCCCCAGGAAAGAAAAGCCCCAAGAAGGCAATTCCCCCACTCCTTGGGAGGGAGGGGAGCAGTGCAGGTCTCCGGCACAGGCAGCGTTGCAGTCCCCACCTGGCCAGGCAGGTGCCTGCTGTCTGCGCGCTCCCCTGCACGTTGCCGTGCGGGAGGAGCTGTTGCAAGAAGCAAAGGGCAAAGCCAGCAGCGAGCGGGGCATGGGCACCGGTCTGCTGAGGGACCG